ATATAATGACTGGCCGAGGCCTGGCCTATGGCTTTTGACGTCAATGCGGCCAGCTGCCCTTTATCGGTAAATCCCCACATCAAGCCTGAAGGCAACGGCAACGGCCACGACGATGCGAAATCAAGAATCGGTCAAGCCCAGGACGGGCGCAGTGCATTTTGGATGCATGTTGTGTCCATTCGCACGTGTCCATGAAATGCCGAAAACCGCGAATTTGCCAAATCACCATTTTGACCATTTGGATCACCCGCGATTGTCGTGCTCTCAAAGTGAGAGGCTCCTGAAGTTTTGCGATGGTTGCCACGCTTTCGCGCAAAAACCTCCCCAAAAAGCTAGGTTTCGGAGCAGAGTGAAAACGACAAACGCAAAAATCATCAAAAACCATCAAAAACCTATATACAAACAGAACATTGAACAAAGGAATTCAACAAGCTTTACAGTACATGTTTAAAACATGTACATAGGTCTTGCCGCTGTTGGCCTGAAACATTGTTTTGTATGTTTTCTTTGATTCCTACGCCAATTTGTCTTCAACCCCTATGCACTGGAGTATAGATTTTGGAGTGTGCTTCTTGAAGAACACAGTGCAAAACAAAATGTCTTTGACGGAATTTCAGCTGCAGTTGTGCCATCTGTTCCTGCAAAGCAGTTCATGTTTGAAAGCGATCCCATGTGTAATTCGATTGCCAAACCTCTTCTCTGTACAAAGATGATCTCTTATTCAATGCCTCATCCTCTACATATGACAACATTGTCCCTTCGGAGGATATCATCTTTGGGAAAATGTTCTTTACTCACCCGCTCTCTTAAAAGTCTTCTCCTTGAAGCAAGGCCTCTCCTTTACGAAAGGGATATCTGCACACCCCTTGCATAAATAACGCATATTTACAAAGTCCGATATTTGTGCAAATGTGTTGTTTAAAGCAGCTCAATTTGCTGTGGCAATTCCCAATTGAAGGCTCTCATCCTCTGTTGAGCTGATTCACCTCCCAAGTCCTGATCTGACATGATTGTATGCTGCTAGCATAGCGCATGTATGTGGTGCGGCCCTCAACCCTAGGTAAACATGCATTCCTGATGAGACACAGCTGTTGCCTGTAGCCTGTTGTTTCTCTTCGGCTTTTATCCCCATTTCGAAACTCTCACGCACACCTCTCAACACTTGACAGGGGCCCAGGATGAATCAGGATGGCACAGGGGTCTTTGGAGTTTGGAATGCTCTCTCATGCTCACAGTGGGTCTTGGACATCGAACAACGTCATCAAGGACAACGTCATGGCCCAGGAGAAGCCAAAACTAACAGGAGGAGGGTGCCTGAAATGCTCAACCCTCTGTCGTCTGGTAACCTGAACTTATTGGTGATTCTGATTCTAGGTAACCTGGTGTCGCCTGTCCATACTTGACTCTATTGACCAACAAATTGACTTTGACAGCATCTATGCCCCGGAGACTGTGCACGGCCAAGAATGGTACGATTCCGTCATAACAGCCTCAAATGGCTATAGTCTAGCATATGCATGCCAAGGTATGCAATTGTTACACCTATGTGTGTCGGCTATGAACATGTCGTTGAATGATGCGCAACAAAACCTGGCCTCTCATATGAGTGGCAGGAGTTGTATGTTACTAAACTCAGCTACATGTTGTTTTCAAAGTAGCACTATCCCATTTAGGCAGCCGGTTAAAGACCAATGTTACCATGTTGATATGAACCCTCTGTTTCTCTTGGAGTCTGTACTGTCAAAACCGTAATAAAGTAAAGAACAAATTGAAACCAAACAAGTATATAGAAGATAGTCAAGGTGCCTTGTTTCATCAAGAATCAAGAGGCTCTGTCTCACGTCTAAGCCCTCCAAGAACCGTAGAACACATTCACTGCGGCTGCATGCGGCGGCTGTTACATCGTTTCAGCTGGATTTGCGCTTCAACTCAGCTTTCTCGGCCTGCGCCGAAGGGCTTGCAGGTCCTTAACGAACCAGGACATCCACAACTTCATCTTGAGTGGAAGGAAGCGCAACACAGTGGGGTCGGGTCAGGTCACTTCCTCAACAAGTCTTCTAAATCGCAGTGTGTTGTACTGTAATCGGAGAGTTTTGCGGGCACTTGCGGCAGGTTGCGGCCGTCTTCTTTCTCTCATGATGAATTGTCATGGTCCGCTGAGGATTTGTGTCCCGCTCCACTCAAGGCTCGTGCTCTACCCCAAAATGCGCCAGCTCGTGAAACTGGCGGGTGGCCAAGCCTCAGAAACTGGCGGGCTCTGCCAAAGACACATTAGCTGCTAAGAGCGATGGCCTCCAACCTACTTGCGATGACCTCCAACCTAAGAGCGATGGCCTCCAACATCCTCCAACCTATAATCCTACATAAGCTGTTGGTAGGGCATGTTGAGGTAGAGGACACATGTCGACGAACGCACGCGGGCTTCGCATGGCTTCACTGTGCCACCGACATTTGCCACGATGGAGCACGTTGCGAACCTCTCCTGCACATCTCATATATCTCCACCTCCCACCTCCGGACGTCACCCGAAGCGAAAGCAACTGCAGACCGAAGAGGAAACGCAAGGGCTACAGTGGGTGAAACGACGAAGCAACTGCCTGTGTTCAGAGGAAGCTAAGAGGAAGCTACGGCAAGGGAACCCGGCACTCGTAATGATGTATGTTTAAAGGATCGATGGAGCAAAGCATTTGAGGTTTTAAGATGTCACTTTTTCATGCTTTTTCCTGGCACATGTTTCAAGACAAGGATGGGATTGGATAGGCTCCATGCTTTTCATTCACCAAAGCTTCGTCTTCCTACTTCGACAGATTTCAGCAGCGTACGCGCATCATTCAGCACAACTTTTTCGTTTGGGCAGCTGACCTGCGAGATCATTGCTGAGATGCTGCGAGCACGCGTGAGAGGAGAGACAGGAGAGAGAAAATAATGATGAGATGAGATATCAAGTGCAGCTGCACAAGAGATAAGAAAACTGACAGTCTCCAGCAACTTGCACACTGCCACCAAAACTCACAGCTCGAGTTGATCAAAACACAGTGTTCAGATCAAGGTTATACCTGTCACGTTGACAGTCCTTTGTGTGGGTCAACCACCCACATTTGGCTGCTCAGTATCCTGAAGTCGTCAGACAAATTTGATCAAATGTGCATCTGATTGTCCTTGGTCCATCCCCCAATTCAATTGCACCGCGCCTATTGAAATCGCACTTCCGAAGCACCTGCAATTAGAGTTAGAGACAATCGCACCCAAAGAATGTTGGCTCAGCAGCGATTTGAGCTCCAGACTGCGTGCAAAAGTTCTGAATCTTGATTGCTTTGCTGCAGGTCCAAGCCTATGGTTGGTCATCTCCGGCTGCGAGCAGAAATGAAAATAACATAAAATAACATAAAATAACCATTTGCCAACTTTGGGGGCTGTGGGCTGCGACAAAACTCCCCAGTATGGCCCTATACGCATCCTTTGTGCGACGCAGAACCCGAACTCGAGTGCCCGCACATTTCCCAATTGGCTTGTAGGCCAGGTGTAGGACCCTTGCCTTTGGCTCAGCCTCGCAGGCTGATTTCCAGCAGCTGCGCTCTTTTAGAGGCAGTGGGCTACGGCTACACCATTCATCTCATGGTTTTGGCCACTGCCTGACTTAGCCCGAGAATCTTCAAGCCACTTCTGTGACCACGTCTCAATGCTGGCGTGTAGACCTCGGGTATCTGATGGTCACTTGGCGATCTCATTGCTCACTGTTAAAGAATAAGGGAGGGAAAGTCTTCATTTGAGGCTTACAGGTGCGTAAGCACCGCACTCGAGGCCAAGCAAGAACCACAAGGGCCTAAGCATCACTTAGCTTTGCTTCGAACTGTTGTGAAAAGGGCGCACGTCGTCACACGCCCCCCCCTCGGGATACAAGTTCTTCAGAACAAGCAGCATCTTGCGTCGCTAAAAAGACACTATATATGTGACTATGTGGCTATGGCTATAGTATAATATTTATTTTAAAATTATACAAGTCGTATGTCCAAAAGTTCAATGGCTGAGACTTAAGACCAACCATGTTTTCCGCGCTTCGGCTCCTTTCGGCTCCCGTGCGATCAATGAAAGGATCATGCTCCATCGAACGCTGCGGGAGACCTGTGCGAGGGCAACGTCCAGCAGTCCAGCCGAGCTGCAGCAGCAGCAGCAAAAGAGGTCATTCATGGATGATTATGCCCCATCAAGGATAAATCCGCCTGGTTAGTATTGCTTGTGTTGGCTTCAATCTACGGTTTGTATCTCCGCGCGGATTTTTCGACAGCCTGACGCCCCCCCCCCCTCTACGTCTAAGGTGATTGGACTGAGACATGTCGATCGCTGGATCAGAATAGACAACCATTGGACTGAGACATGTCGATCGCTGGAACAGAATAGACAACCTCTGATTCGGATTCGTTCCATTTCATTGTAAAACGACTTCGCTTGAAATCAACATCAACAAACTCTCCCAGCAAAATGTGCAACTCCAATGCACCAACAAGTATGATTGAGCAGGGTATTGTTGTTCGATGTCATTCTGGGTCTTTCATTTCGAACGGTTTGGAGAAAAAACGACAAATCATGCCAGATCAAGTTATTCTTCGGTCGCTTTGAAGCCTTCTGTATGTGAAAAAGAATATCTGGTGCGACTCGCAATTCCTCAAGACGGTCGAAAAAAAGATCTGACAAGGAAAACATGCAAAAGGCCAAGTAGTTTGGAAGAAGACTCATTTTCAAGTACCGGCTTTGTGGATTGTCTTGCTTCGTCTGGCTTGTGTTGGTTTCCATTGGTTTCAATCTACGGTGCCGGATTATATAGCTGCTTCAGCCTAGAAGAGGTGATCTTGTCCCTGCCTTGGAACGAAAATAGAACTGTGGAACACTGTTAATAAGCATCATTAGGCTGCCTGCCACTCCGGGCTCGAGCTGGTGGCCGGCGGCATGCCGAAGGCTGTAAATATATAATCATAAATATGATTATGTTATCAATATTAAATGCAAAAGCAAAAGGTAAGGGCGCCTTGAAATGGATCCTTGTTGCAGCGGCCCTTATATACTCTTTTTTGTGTGTATGCGTTCCAATCTGTTTGACTCCTTCCCCTTCATAGCTCCCGACACTGCCTTCTCCATTTCCCCCGTCCCAGCAGCAACCCTTTTCCCGCTCGCATGCCAAAGCACTCAGCCTGCTCACGTTGAATTACGGCTTAATCCGGCTTAACAATTCAAAGGCACGGGTACGACTTACAACTCAAATCTTCGTTTGTGCATGTTTGTGCCAGCCTCTGATCTGAGGAAACCACCTCCCATGGAGCAAACCTTCTGCAAAGCTGCTCGTTTTCCTGGCATCCTGGTCAGACACCCTGACACCAGCACTCAAACACCTGGCAAATCCAGCCTCCTGAGCAAGTCTGCACGCAGCCTAAGGAGTCAATATGAGTGTTCATGAGCCTAGATTCGAGTGTAGGGCAAAATGTCCAAACACCCACGTGACAAATGTAAAGCAAACCTACCCCACCTTACTATCAACATCTTATCACAGCATATCACAGCGCATCTGAAAACTTCTCGGTGCAAAGGCACAAAGAAAACCCACCTCTTTTTAATTTTCTTGCTGCAGGTCAAGCATTGAACAAGGCATCGGCTTTCTCCCGAAGCTGGGATGCTCCACATCTAAGCTGCTAAGCGACGCACGGCATCAGAAAGGATCGCTGATACATGGTGACCGCAGCCTTGATCAAGCGCATCATGAACGTCGTTTCATTGAATCCTCCCAAACCGGGAATCGCCCAAACGGTCTGTTGCAGGCAGTGTCGGCCTGGTTCCAACAGGACATGTCATGCAAAAGGGCCGCCAAAACCACCGCGTAGATGTAGGTCCTCGGCCGTCAGGCTCCAAAAACCGTACTTTCAAGTTTCCCGCGTTGGATGTGGTCACACTGGAGAATTTTCACAACCTGTTCTTGAAGAATGGGGCTATAAGCCTAAGCAGGTGCTTACAGTACACGAGTTTAGCTCACGCGGCACGCGGCAAACATCAAGTGCTTACGCGCTTGATGCGTTCTGAGTGCAAACATCACCGCCCAATGAGCTGTTGGAGGATGAAGACTAAATTCCTCCAATGTGGGATTTGATTCCTCCAAAATGTCTTGATGAACCCTCACTGGTTTCGAAGGAAATTGCAATCACATGGCATGGACCAGCAAAGCTTACGCTCTTTGCTCACGCTAGTGCTTCAGCAACCGAATGGTTGCGCAACCTTGTGCCTAGCAGGCTTTTGCTTATGCAGAGTGTCCTCATTATGTCCAGTGCAGCGGGAAATGTGTCTGAATTTGATGACGCGGGTTTACGGGTTTACGCGGGTTTACGCGGGCTTACGCAGGTTTACGCGGGTTTACGGGTTTACGCGTGTTTACGGGTTTACGCGGGTTTACAGGTTTGCTGGGCTAAGAGATGTTTACGGTGTGTAGTCGTTCTATCATGTCTTCGACATCAAGAGGGCATCGTTTCTCATCTGTGTAGAACGGCTGTAGCATGCTTTAGCTATATTTTTTTTGAGTTTCGTTTGTCTTTTTTATACGGCGTCATGGCCGACAACCCTTCAAAAGACTAAAGACCGACGAGGTTGCAAAAACAACGACGACTATGGAATACGCCGACGATCGACGATCTTGAGGAACCATTGGTTTGAATGGACATGGGGGTGGAAATGGGAAGTGAACAAAGGTCTTGACACAATACTAGACGACCACAATGGGATGTACAACAGTTTTAGGTCTGTGCGTTAGGAATTGTCGGATTGCATTTGCTTAGGAAAACCTTGATATCCTGTTAGTAAGGAATCACACGTTGATACGCCATCGATTTGTGACCTCTACTTGGGAAACGCCGATGCCATCATTAAGTGGTTCACTTGCGGCTAGAATTCCTGGAACAAATAGATGACATCTATATAGTAAGATTTCTAAAAAGCGACGTCCTTCAAAAGGCACCAGCCACCGGCTGGATTTACATGCAAACATGTGTGCAGCAAACAGTTTGGTTGATGGCTTGCACTGAGCACCACTTGGTTTGGCACCAAGTGGATGCTGAAAATGCGGGTGTCCTTTTTGAACACCTATCAGTACAAAAAAAATGTCTTTTTTGTCCTGAAAATTGTTCAAAAAGGACACAATTGGGATGTTCGTGATGTTCCTTTGCATTTCTCACATCCCTTGAACGCATTCTTCCAGAAACAAACTTGAAAAAGGTTGTGCTTGACGTGAACCTCTGCGAATCTCGCCAATACTGGGTGGTAAACCCTACGCGGTCGCAATGTAGAACGCTCCCAAGTGACCTACCTCTCAAGTGATCTACCGCTCTCAAGTAAACCGGTGTAAATCGGTAAACCGGTGTCGTCAAATACCAGACGCGCGTGATGCTGCAATGCATTATGTCCAGGCCCAAGCTTTTGGACGATGCCCAATAGAAACCCCACACTCAGCCCTGAGATTGCTCCCGAATACTGGAAAAGAACAACATTTCAGTCTGGTCCATTTGCCAAGTTCACGATTTCATGCGGAAAACAATTGTATAAGGAAACAAAAAACAACAACAACAAATCTATAGATTTCTAGGGATTTCTTATTTGCTTACTCGGCTTTAACCACTTCTGAAAACGCACCACTTCAACAGCTCACTGTTTTGTCGCCCTGCATGGACCGTGAAAAAACGCCAAAATGAACCAAATCCCAACGGCACAGTGACGCGAAGTGCAGAACAAACATGAAAACACCACACCTGCGCAGGAAACATGAAGCACCCAGAAACATCACACACATTTCATCACATTTCATACCCAGTCGGACACCTCTATCATCCATGCAGAACCTCCTCTGATTCCGTTTGCCAATGGCAGGACCCTACAAAGTAGCAGCTTCAACAAGAAATCAAATCCACACCTCAAGTGCTTGAGCACCAAAGGCTGTTGTTTGAATCATGATTTCGTTCAAGCCATTTGCATCAATTTGTGTTTGTGCGAGTTGATGCTGAGGGCCGGGCCCTTGTGAGCTTTGGTGCAGGGGATGGAGGGGTGCCCAAACCTCTGGCTGTACAGCTCGCCGTGCCTCGGAACAAACACCCAAACAAAACCGGCCCATCTATACACAAATCACCAGAATGGTTCGACCAAATCACCAAATCAATTAGAAACTGCCCGGGCCGCCCAGGGATGTTGCCCATGAGTTCCAAAATGTGACGTAAATGTTCAGAGCTCTTGGTGCAGCATGGCATGGTGCAACATAGCGCCTAAAAGATTTTTGAAAAAAAATAGAAAACGGTCTAAAAAGGAAACTATATATACTCCAAAAAATCCACGAACTCAACCGTCAGACACCTTTCATGTCCTTCCTTGAGGCACTGCGTGCGTCGAGTAGGCTGTTGGACTCGAGGAGTCTTATGCTCTGCACAAAACAGGAGCAACCACAGCCAATGTCCTGTTTACAGCTGAGGTGCCAAGAATGGTTTTAGCGACAGCGCTCGGAAGACTTGGCTGGATCGAGTGTAGGTAGTCACTGCCTATTCCAGGCAAATCAACCACTCAACATTGACAAGACAAAAGACGAACAGAATTCCGTGTCAATATGCATTGCGAATGCCACTCTCTGCTTGATGGAAAAGATTGAGACTCAAGCAGCTGGGGCAACCTCTTTTTGCATCTTTTTCCGGCGTAAGTCAATGCAAGTCATCCAGTCCCGAAACTCCGGCTGACGCAACCCTTGCTTTGAAGAGTCTGAGCTATGAACGTGGCTTTTTCAGAGTCTGCCACAAAACTTTGAGGAAAACAGCTGGACGTTCGCTGGGCATGAGTAAATGCATGGGTGCAGTTCTCAAAATTCATCCGGTTTTCTCATTGGTGGGAGACAACCTTGCTATCGGCAAGGAGTCCGAGTTTCTCACCTCAGCAGCGAAACGACCGAAGGACCGAAGGACCGAGCCGACGAAACTTGCGACCGACGTCAACCGCTAAATCAACCCGACCTGCAATGCCAACGCCGAGACGAGACCCAAGGCGTTCAGCGCTGTTAGTAGCAGGAAGGATGGTCTGTAACATGCTGCTCCCTGGCAAACATCCTGCAGATGTTCTCCAGAAAGTCTGCAAAGATCTGAAGCAAACATACACATCCAAACAATTGAGTGAAAAACCTTGCAAATTGGAAGTGGCACGCAGCAGCTTCTATGAAAGCTAACCTGGCCAACACTTCCTATACTGAGTTGCTGAGTTGATGCTTCTTTGAAGGTGACTTCTCCCTCGCGTCCTCGCCGTCTGAAGCTTTGCGGTAAAACAATGGCAGCACGGTGCTCATGATGATCAGCGCAGCGGCAGCCTTTCGAATCTTTCGAACCGGAGTTCGAAGTCCGTCTTTGGGACGGGCGACCGCGGTGTTTGGCTGGGCGACTGTTGTTGGGCGGTTGAGGGGCGAAGAATGGCGAAGAACAGCTGAGAAATCCCAGGTGTCTCACCGAGAACATCGGCGCGTCTACCCGATCTTTGTCAAAATTAGACTTTCTCTCGCTAGTTGTGCTTGTTTCAAGTGGAGTAAGTTTTGGGGATTCACTCAAAAACCTCTTCAGGGCCTATGTGGGCAAAACATCTAAAACCATCGAAGGGAAGCAAAGACCCCCCGATCCCCCCCCAGCTACTTCCAAGGTAGAAGCAGCCCTTAAACCCCATCGCACAAAAGAGGCATTGGGAAACACAATCAAGCATCTTGCAGGCCAAGCAAGCCTGTTTGTTAAATATGTCCATTCTTTGCTTATTTTGATTCTTGGGGCACACAAAAGCAGCGTTCAGAGCTCCCGGTGCATGTGTAAATATATATATATATGCATTTGTATTGCGTCTATTGTTATTTGTGTGTGTGCACATGTCAATTTTCCCGCCATGTGCTCCTGGTGCACTTCGCGGTTCAATCAAACGATGTAAGTAGGTCCTAGGTTCGTGGTCCCGGCTCTGAACTTTCAGGCCGACGCATCCCTGATTTGTGGGCTCCGCTTCGCACATTTCGGCAACTATGTGCAGCTTACAAACGAACGGATAAGAATGATGAAGCTTGTAGATTGTTCTTCTATTCCTCTCCACGGATGGAGGGTTTGGGCCTTGCCTTGCCGGTCGGTTCTTCAAGAGGCAAGTGTTTAAAATGCTGCACAATTGCATCTTGTGGCCACTGAATGCACACCTGGTGACCTGCAAGAGATCGTCACGAACCGGCCGCTGGACTGAACCGGCCGGCCTGGGAGCTCATTTGTGCGCCCCAAAGCTTTCCAAATTCAAGAGTGCCATACATCTCGTTCACCATGGGGATGATGATGGTGTAGAAGGATCCAAAGGAGAGCCCCATCAGCAAGGTCCCGACCATAATACCTGGCAAAAGATCATGAAGAAATCGTTGAACACTCCAAGTGCATGTAAATATAGCACGTGACTCAAACTCGCAACCGCTTCACCGTGCCTTGAAGATCCATGAGAGACACAAAGAACTCTCCAAGCATTGCGCAGCATGCACCAGCCTAGGTGCTGGCGGCTGGCCCAATGCATGAAAAGGTTCGTGCCTATCGCAAAAGGCTGATCTTCTTTTGTTACCCAGGGGATGTCTAGCATATCTGCTAACTCTATTGTTACAGTTATGCTTGCATTCTTTCGAACATGCACCACCCAGAAGTAACTATAGAAGGTCTCTGGTTACCTGCCTTCTCAGAGAGGAACCCATAGACCGATTTGTTGGAGTCAACCTCCGCATCCTACCCTCCCAGACGTACACAGCGACCAAGATTGGCCGTGGCAGAAGGTATGAAATACAAGTACCATGGGTTCAGCATGCTAAGTCAGCCATTCAGGGACCAAACTGAGAACTTGCAGGTCAATTCAAAGCTCGATGAGAATTGAACGATTAATTGAAAGGAAAGTAGCTGACAACCAATGAAAGCGAGTGAAGTAGGCCTTGTACTTGTCACTCAAATAGCCCGCCACGATCCTTGAAAAAGCCGAGCTGAGTGCGAATAGTGCCACTCCCAAGCTGCTGGCCGCATCGTGCCCAGCACTCTCCAAGATCAGGGCCTTGGGGACCGGAGGGAAGTTGATACTTGCAGCTACCTAACAGCAGAAAATGAAGCTCATTTTAAGGCAATGTGTAGGAGCGGGTCTACTACAGTAGAAGGGCCTTGCAATATCTTGTGCACATTTCACTGTTCTTTCCTGCCAACCTTGGCGGAGCTGATTCTGAATTGCTACGAGTATATAGGAGCCTGCATGGATGAGCATGGTGGACTGTGGGGCCAGGCTTCTGACAGCTGGCCAATCTCCGTAAATAATTTGGGCCATGCCCGTTTGGCCTTCCTTGCAGGCATGGGTTGGTTCCCCGCCTTTGTATGCGCCATTGTTCACACAGGCGATGCGCAAAGCTGTATTCAAATTGGAGTTGTCTATTGGTGTTCTTGTGCTTTCACTACATCCACATCCACATCCAGGGCACGAGGTTCTGATTCGTGGCCACTCCCGCGCCGAAGACCGCAAACTGGCACAACCACAAGAGATAGAAGTCCATCCCCTGGGCGGCGACCTGGAAGGTCAAGCCAGACTTCGGAGCCCTGGGTGGCGCCCACGGACATGAGACAGAACAAGGACACTCGATTGCTGTCGAATCCAAATGAATCCGAATGCTGTTTTTCATGCGGAAGAAAAACATTGAAACAATCTAAAATATTCTAAAAGATTAAGATAAGTAATAAAAGTAAGGGCCTCTTTACTGTGTTTTTGGGAGCTTTTCACCCAAATGTTTCAAAATGATCGTGGTCGGTGCCATGTGCTCCGCGGCCAATCAACTGGGGCCAGCACATCGGCGACATGAGCCTGTCCTCTGCGCCCTCCGTGCCGGCTTTGGCACAGAAGAGCACTGAGCAGGGAGCAATCTGCAGGCCAAGTGCAATGAGGCCGAAGGAGGGACCAGCCATCGCTGAGCCTCTGGAATGTTCGTAGCTGGACCACACGTCAAAGCTGGTGAGAACCACCAGGAAAGCGATCAAGATGAGAAGACGACGGTGGTCTGTGCCATCCAGTGGCCCACGCCCACATTCCGGCAAAATATGTATACTGGAAAGACTGAGGGCACCCACTGCAAAGGATGCCATAGACTGAAAGGCCAGGAAGGCTGGCCTCGTTGCATAAGCTTTTCCGTGAACCCGAACTGTTATTTCTCAATTTGTACCCTGACCAAACAACAAATATGACATGTGTGCGATAATCGGCTCGACGACGGAGCCTGGCCCCTGGATCTACAGCGCTTGCTTCTCAAGTTCGCTTTTCTCCAAAGGCGTCGATGACGTCATGCGCCCACCGTTCTAGTGCATTGGAGGTTAAATGGCAACAGAGTCATGGCATGAAGTGGCTGGACTGAACATGAAAATCTCACTGGTATTGTTTTCTTCTGCCTTTGACCTCCATGCTCCACTTCCGTCAGTTCCCGGCTCTTGGGCTTCTACCAGGCTGACTAGTGGGTCTTCCATCCAAGCTCTCAGCTGGTCTCGCAGCTGCCTATTGCGCTTAGTTAGCGCGTCAGCTAACATGGCCTCAGTAGGAACCCAGCGCAGGTTGCGACAAGTCTGTCGCAGCGCAGCCACATCCATCTCCACCCTCTTCTCCGCAAAAGAGGTTGCCAGCCTGTGGATCGCATCGTAAAGCGATCTGGCATCTGTCACCGGCCAGATAGCAAAGGGTGACTTTGCTGAGTGCGAGGCGATGTAGGAGCCGTTGAACATTTCGCCAAGCATGCAACCAACAAAGTTTGCATAGTCCTCGGACTTGTCCAGGGAGGCAGCTTCAACGGCCAGGGTCGACCGAAGGACACGTTGGCGCCGGTACGACTTCCAGTCGAGCAAACTGGCTTCGGCCTGCTGGACCAAAGCATCAGGCGTGCTGGCTAGCACGATGTAGCCTCCTTGGCTTTTGCCTCCAGGAGCTTTGGCAAATGCTGAATCGCCGAATGCGATTAGCACCAACTTCTCCATGTCGATCGGCTTGATTGTCACTGCCGTGTTCGCTGTGGCCTTGACATACTTGAGCACGGAGTTGGCTTCAGCAAGGTCGCCATAGGTCAAGTCATCATGACCCTTCTGCAGCAAAGAGGTTTCTGCTGCAATGTCAGGTCGTGTGGTGCCTGGCATCCACTGCAACGATCCTGTAGCGGATCTGAACTCCGAGATTGCATCTCGGTCTGAGCCCATCTTGGCTTCATGGTCTTGCTTGACCTTTGCGATGATCACGTCGGTGGCATAGTGGCTTTGGCTCAAAGTGATGTTGCCGTTGCCATGGCGAACAATGCCGCGTCCGACAAGGACAAAATCATTGACCTCCCAGGGACTGCCCCAACTGAAAAACTTTTCAACTTCAGAGAGGATGCCTCCTGGAGTGAAGCGGCCAAAATGTCATCCACATGGATGCCCAAAACAGCTTTGACCTCCCTGTTGACCTTCTTCAGAAAGATGCAAGGGTCAAGGGAATGCTGCGCCCACTGCAACTTGTT